ACCTCTAGGGGTCCCTTCCAACCCAAAACTTTCTATGATTCTATGATTCTATGATAGTGTGGCTCCCCTTTGCTGTTTCTCTCTTGTTGCTCCCTAGCACTGCTGGGGAACGCTGGTTTTCAATAAGGATGCTGCATGCAGGGCACAAGATACTGCTGCCATTTAATGACCATCTGGAGGGAGAGGGCTTCCAGCTGAGCAAAGCGTTGCTGGACTCTTGCAGGCAGCGTGCTGTTACCCCAGGATTGCTTCCCAGAGTGACGGTGTGGTGATCTTGCCCTTGCATTCTACTGGCCTGGGCCCCAGTTAATGTTCAGTGCTGCTGTGAGGGCCTCAAAGGCAGGGAAGCATGCTGTCCAGCGAAGCAGGACCATGACGAGGTTGCTCTGAGAAGGTAAGGACAGATCTCGAGTGAAGTGACTTTGGCCCAGGCAGTTGCAAAACTAATATTTGCATCAGGGTCAAAGAGGATCAATCTGGTCCTGAGTCAGGCAAGGGGGACAGTGGGGATATAATTATGTGTCCTGTGGAGCTGGTGTCCTGCTGTGATGGCAGAGATGTCTCTGCTCTGCAACAACAGAAATATGGTGGGATGGCTGTTTTTATTATAGCTCATTGATTGAAAACCTGTTGAAAATTCTGTGCAGAAAGAAAATGGGGAGGATGCAAGAAGTCAAGCAAAGCAAACACTGGGATGAATACCTAACTACAAAAGCTGACTCTCCAGACCCTTACCCATCACACTGGCATTTTTTTCCATAGGCACTGCTAGTGCCACAGCAGGGGCTGCAGCGGTGGCAGGCTCTGGCGTGCCTTCGCTTCACAGTCACCTGCAAGTTACATTGGCATTTGCTTCTGGGGGCACCTTAATGAGCACAAGAGCAAACGTGCTTCATCGATTTCCTTGCCAGCGACCTTGTCAATTTGTGTGTTACTCCCTGGAGGTTTTGGGAGTCAATGAATTAACATGTAAAATCTGCTCCAGCTGCACACGGTTGCTCTCAAAGTGCAGAGACCTTTTG